AAATAAGCATCTCCCAAAAGAGTCAACCTAAGATTGCATACAGGAAAAAAAAGAGTGCTCAATTCCATAATAGCTGGCAGAACTTCAATATATATTAAGTCAGATTTCAGGTGGGCAATGATCGGCCAAGACTTCCTGTTTCTGGGGCTTTCCCGAAATCCTCAGGCGGTCCGTAGGTATAGTTTATGAAAATAGGATATTTTATGCTACCAAAGAAATCAAAGATGGTAAGCCAACCAAACAGGTAAAGGAGTTCCTATTTTCACAGGTAAAAGCTACCGACCACGTGAAAAGGCATGAAACTCGGAGAAATAGACGCCCCATTTATTTTTATTGATTTATTAATTTATTAGTATGTATTACCTCTATTGATTTGCACATTCAAGAAATATATATATATATATATATATATATATATATATATATATATATATATGTATGTATGTATGTAAGCAAATATATGGATATAGATCCGATAGTATGAAGAAAAATATACAGAGAAAACAAACAAAAATCATAAGACGTTGACTTTATATTAACATTAATACAGCATAATTGCATATTAAGATTTTTCTTTGTTTTTTCTGTATATTTTTCTTCATATATATGTATGTATCCGGATTTCATCCTCCTTGAGATTATCCACACGGATTACCAAGATTTTCGTTACTTATATATATATATATATATATATATATATATATATATATATATATATATATATATATATATATATATATAGGGGCACCCCGTGGCGGTGTATTTCGCTAGAACAATTACGCCTTAGTAGTGAGTTCGATCCTCACTGGGTGCCCCATACTTTCGGCCTTGTGCCACATTTAAGCTACGCTCGAAAAATCACTATATATATATATATATATATATATATATATATATATATATACTTTAAAACATCCGGTCACGAATTTAATTTGTTCCTGAAGCCCGTTCGTAACCCGAAATGTTCGTAAACCGAAACTATTTTTTCATTAGGAATCAATGCAAAATGATCTAATTTGTTCCTGGTGCCAAGAAGATTACTCATTTAAAAAAGTATTTCGTGCACAAGTTTATTCCCAAAACTAATGAAAATCATTAAATCTAAGAAAAATTAAATAAACCTAATACTAAACAGGTAAAATATCGACGAATATTTTATTTAAATATATTTGATTTTTCTTTATTATTATTATTATTATTCCAATACATCTATGATTTGTTTCAAAAGAAATAATAAAAATATTAACAAATGTAAGCGGCCACACTCAAAGACAACATTGGAGTTTCGGTTCGTTGTACTCCCGAAAACACTCATAGAAGGACACCCTGGGCGTTATGCAACAAGTCAAGTTAATTCTATAACAAATTCCAAGAGAATCATCACGATCTTTACAGTGTGTTGCAATTGTACTGATTCCCAATTAATATACGCCATCCAATGTAGCAAACATGACTTGATTTATGTGGATTGCACAACGGAAAAGTTAAAGAAAAGATTCAATGTCCGTAGGTCTGTTGACAGACACAACAATATGCCTTCGATGGAAAATTGCTGAACATTTTATTACGAACGAGTGTAATTTCAACAAGCATTGAATATTCTGAAATATTAGTATTAATAATATTAATATATAATCTATTAATAATAAAAGATTCAATGGCCGTTGTTTTGATGCCAGTCACAACAATGTGACGTCAATGGAGATCGCAGGACATTACAAACGACTGTAAATTCAACAAGCATCTTAAGCTTCATATTATGGAAAAATATTCGGAATCTACCGACCTTTCGACGCCTGAGGATCGTTACGTGTGTAAATAACTAACTTCCCTCTTCGGAGGAATGAACAGCATGAAAGGAGAGTTTCATAAGATCTATACTAAGCTGTTTGATTAATTCCTCTTAGTAACTAAGCAACTAACGGAAAAAATCCGAAGATGAACAAGATTGCCATCATATTAAGGTCATTTCAGTTGGTGGGAGGCGTTTAATTCGTTTTGACGCGTTGGTTACCATTACATCCGTTTTTCCATTACAAGACAAACAACATTTGTACAAAGACTTACAATTTTTTGCAGATTTATATATCTTTATACTTGAAATTGTTTTAAATAACACTTGAAGAAGACAGATATACTATCGAAATATTGTTTAACATTGTCAAACACTGTTTTTTCTTTTCTTTTTCTTTTCTTAAATCACTCTCTTCTCTTGCTATTATTATTATTATTATTATTATTTGCCTCTGTGTTGTGTAGAACGCGTTCCCGCCAAGTTTCAAGCACAGACTTCAAGATGTAACTCTTGAGTTTTTTTTTTGTCTCAGAAGATATTTTTAAATCTCTTCACCCCCAAGCAAGGCAATAAATCAACTAAGACGCGGGGGGGGGTAATGAGTGTGAAAGAATATAAGAAAAAGGAGAAAAAAACATTACTAAGGAGAGAGAATATTAAAAGAACAGGAATTAAGAAGACAGAAGACAACAATTGACATATATATTGAGATATAGACGCTTAATAATTGTACGTTCAATCCTTGAGCCCGGTAGTAAAGACTTAGACTAAATGGAAACAAGGTAAGCAATAAAACTAGACATTGAGAACAGAATAAGTATAATATACCCACGTAGCTTAAATAAAGGATTCCATTCGATATTCTCTTAAATTTATCTATATCATCCTGAGGAAAAACCCAAAGGTCGAAACGTCTCAACAAAGAAAAAGAATAATGAACAGAATTAGAGGAGAGTTTCACAAGATTTATTCTAAGCTGTTTGATTAATTCCTCTTAGTAACTAATCAATTAACGGAAAAATTCACCATCATATTAAGCACGTTTCTGTTGCATTCCTTCATGCTGACGGCGTTTCATTCGTTTCGACGCATTGGTTACCATTACATCCGTTTTTCTATTAAAAGACAAACAACATTTGTACAAAGACTTACAATTTTTTTCAGATTTATATATTTTTATACTTGAAATTTTTTTTAGATAAACCTTGAAGACATATATACTATCGAAAATCAAGTGAGAAGAGAAATTTGACGATATGCGAAGCGTTGTGGCAGACAATGAAAAATGTGGCGCAGGGAACCGAAGGTAAATTAGGAGAGCGAAACTTGCTTTCCAAAAGTTAGACAAAATATTGAGAAAGAGAAGAACTACATTAAAAAAAATTGTAGAACTGCTATGTAATATCAATCTTCCTATATGGGCACATGGCTGCGTGGTTAGAAACGTTCGTTTTCTGACCATGGGATTCGGTTTCGAATCTCACCATCGTCGATTTCCTGATGTTATCGGTCTGGAGTGTAGGACGATCTCAGCGAGCGGCACCATAACACGGGTTGAGCCGAGACATGTGAGTGAAATTAGATAGACGGAACACTTGGGGGACATTGAGAGCTGTGCTAACACGAAGTCAAAAGTCATCGTGATCGAGGGTTTCAGTGCAGGTGTTGTTTAGATTGTTGATCATTCTGCTCTGAAACTGTAACTAAGGTCTGCTCAGCATAGTTGCAGTATAAACCACAGGTTAAACAAACGCAAATGTGCCTGAGCGAGCGTCTGAATTAGGGATTCGATAGCCGCCCTAGTAGACGGGCATCCTCCATTACGACTGGCCAGCTATTATTATTATATGGCAGTGAATAGTGGACAATTTCATCACAGATGGAGAGGGCTCTTGAGGCAACAGAGATATGGTTCTACAGAAGGATACTGAGAAT